AAATAAATAGGAGGAGAAATCTAAGAATGGCAGAAAGAAGGAAAGAGGAGAGAATGAGGGAGAAAGAGGGGAACACACCTGGGGGCGGAAACCAGGCAGCCACCAGACAGACATGAGAAGCAGTGAAAATAAGATATGCAGAAGAAAGAAACGTAAAAAGCCAGGAGGCAAAAGGTAGATAAGAGAAACAGGCTAATTTAAGTTAAAAGAGCTAGCCAGAAATGAGCCTAAAGTAGGCTGAGCATTCATAACTGATAAGACCTCTCCATGTCATGATTTGGGAGCTGGTTGGTGGCCCAAAAGAAAAAGCTTGTGCTTATAAAGCTTTATTTAAAACTGCCAAAATTTGAAAACAACCAAGATGTCCTTCAGTAAGTGCATGGATAAATAAACATGGCATATTCAGACAATGGAATATTATTCAGCACCTAAGAGAAACTAGTCACTTATAAAGAGACACAAGGAAAAGTTAATGACTATTACCACATGAGAGAAGGCATTCTCAAAAGGTTGCCTACCATATGATTCCAATTCCATTGCATTCTGGAAAGATAAACTACAGAAACAGTCAAAATCGACTGATGGTCAAGGAGGAGGATGCTCGGCTGAGAGAAACTTGCATAGCATGTATGAAGCCCTGGTTTTGATCCCCAACACGGTATATATAAACTGAGAGTAGTGAAGAACACTTGTAACTCTAACACTCAAGATATAGTGGTGGGCAGATCAGAAGTTCAAGGTCATCATCAGCTAGCTACACAAAGAGTTCAAGGTTAGCCTAGGCTATATGAGAATCTGTCTCAAATTGTATTTAAAAGATTCATGACAACCAGGATTACAGAGGAGGCATGAATAATTAATTAGAGTGCAGGCATTTTTTAGGACACTAGAAATGCTCTGTGTGACACTATAACACACGTTTCCGAATCCAGGCAACTTGCAACACAGAATGAGCCGTACGTAAACTATAGACTTCGGGTAAGCAATAATGAGCTGATGTAGACAGCTGCCTTTCTGTGAAATGACTTCTTTACCATAGACCAAAGCAAATGAAGCGAAGAGTCTAAGAAATGCCCAAAGGGCTACAAGAGTCTGTTACTGGCACAGAGGTCCCACATGCAAATAAGTTAGAGCTCTCTGCACACCAATTCCCACGTTTCCATTCCATCTAGCTTGAGGTTCTGGCTATCCCTGGCACAGGTGTTTTAATATCAAGAATCCCCAGCATGAAATTGTGCCTGATTCTTGCCTCTTACACAACAGCAGTTGATTCTCTCCTTTTTTCACATCTCTTGTCACATATGGTCTCCTCTGCAACAAATGCCTGCTGAGAACTGCTAACAGTTGCATTTGTTTAGCAACATTCTTGAGACGTCCTCGCATGACAGATAATAACTGTTCTGTTCCTGACGCTTTCCGATAACTGAAAATAAAACCAATATGCTCATCTTTGCTGAAGGTAAAGGGGTGAAGCCAGGAGTCTCTCTCTCTCTACATAGTCATTTATGCAGGAATCAAAAGCATGAATGGCTCTCGCCCCATTTTCTCATTCCTAAAGTTTTCTAAAACAGCTGTTAAGACTGACTAGGTGAGAGGCAGGCAGACCTCTGAGTTCTAGGCCAGTTTCGTCTACATAAAGTCCAGAGTTCCAGGCCTTCCTGGGCTACATAGTGAGCCCGTCTCAGACAAACAAACAATAACAACAAATAAGCTAATAAACACACGGCTAGAGAGTTGGCTCAATGGTTACAAGCAGTTGATGCTGTGTAGAAAACCAGGGCTCATCTGGACTCTGCTACGAAATTCAGTGATGACCTGAAAATTTTCAATTTGCTTCTCCAGACCTCCTTTCCCTGAGGAAGCCCCATTTACCTATCACAGGTCATACTTTTTTTTCCCTGGACACAGGAGCTCACTCTGCAGGCCAGACTCAGAGCAATCCTCCTGCCTTTTGAAATGCTGGTATTACAGTTCGGTACCACTCCTTCTAATAAGACACTCTAAACTATACACACATAAAGCTCCCAATTCAGGACTGTGGGTTTCTGTTGTAAAACAGGGAGTCACTGTAATCCTCCTGCCTCAGCCTCCCAAGTGTTGGGATTAGCAATCTAAATTTTAAACCCACATCCTTCACTCTTGAAGGACTTGAGTTTCTATCTACACAATCCTGTTTGCCACTGTTTCAAAATTTCACAAGGAAAATTAACAGTAAATCATCCCCAAATTCTTTCCATGTCCTGCAAGAGAACACTGAATTAGAATCCCAAACCCAGTACACACAAGTAAACATTTTCTTACAATCCAGTAATCTCTCCTGGCCGCTGATTTCATGGTTCACTGGCCTGTTCAGTGTGACCACTGGGCCTTCAGTTCCTGGTTTTACAAGTTGTTCAGGATGTGCTTGATACGACAGTACCCTGGCAGTGCTATGGAGGTGGGAAAGGCTGTCACAGAGCAGACACCCGAGTGATGAATAAGGGACAATAAAGTAGATACAATTAAGGGACATTTCAGTAGCAAAAAGTGACATCTTGACAAAGCTAACATGGAGAGCACACCAGGTACTGGATGTTCTTTTACACAGCACCTCATGTGTCCTTGTCCTCAGGTAACAACAGGTGTATAAACACGCACCACCAAGGCCTTACAAAAGAGAAAACAGAGCTCCACTGAAAAGAACAGGCTGGAGAGATGGCTCAGCGATTAAACAGCACTCGGTGATCTTGCAGAGGACCCAGCCTCCAGCATCCATATGGTGGCTCACAATGGCCACTTCCAGGGGATCCAATGCCCTCTTCCGGTTTCCAAGGTACAAGGCCCACACATGGTACAGTTACATGCATGCAGGCAAACACTCACACAAACAAAAAAAAATCAAATAATCACTATTTAAAAAGGACAGAAATGGAGAGGTAGAGGAGTGAGGAGGGAGATGGTCACGCTGCAGGGGCCTAGGGTCAGGAAAGATCTGGCTGCAGGCATCTGGGCTGAGGCCTGAATGAAGAAACAGTCACATGAAGATCCAGGTACAGAGTGTTCCAGAGAGGGAACAGCAAGAACAAGGGCCTCAAGACAGAATGAACCTGGCAAGATGAACCTAGCGAGCTCTGGGAACAGAAGGGATAACATGAGGCTCAATCACAGACGAGGAGAGAGAATGAGAAGAGGGTGGACCGGAGGAGGATGGAAGCCAACACACAGAGAGCCTGTGTTTATCATGGATACAGCAAAAACCTGCTGGGGTATTTTGAACAGGAGAATAATACAATCTGACTTGGATTTTCCAAAGACCCACTGGTTGCTACGTGTGAAACAGAATGCAGGAGCCAGGAACAGAATCAGAGAGGCCATTTTGGAGACAGACGGCATAAAGCTGCGTAGTTCCGGCTTCCTCTCCTCTTTTCCCATCACACAATCACCGCGAAACAAAGGACTTGCTACCGCTACCTCTGCTTCTTGGCCCTCTGTGTGTCCTTTTATTTGAGAATCATTTTGTATTATTTGTAGTGTGTGTGACATGAGTGCTGAGGACAGAACTTGGACCCAAGTCCACTCTGAGCCACACTGAGCTGCTCTCCAGCCCCTGCTGGGCTTCCCGTCCATGTTAACTGTCTTGCTGATAAACTTAACTACTTTCCAACTCTCTTAGTGAGAATCAGAAGAGAGTCCAGGATCACCTCTCAGATTCCTCTGAATTCTGACCCCATCATCTACACAACCCAGAGGACCCAGCAGAAGCCAGCATAATGGCAAAGCAGAAAGCAAGGCTTACATGGTCAGTATCATTTCAAGGCCTATTTAATCATAGAGTTTTCATGGTGGTTTCTTTCATCAAGCAATTCAGAATTCAAAACCAAAAGGGTCACATGATCCTCATCTTGTTGACAATATAAGGAGTGTCTCGGCATGCTGAAGTGCACGGCCTGCAAACGTGACTAAAATGCCCTTGCTCTCTGGGAGCAAGCATGGCAACCCATGCATCAAGAGGTGGAATTGATTTCCCTTCCCTTTGAGCTGAGCTGACTGTGTCACTCGCTTTGGCTAACAGGAGGAGGCGCAGGTGATGCTTCATGTCTTGGCTTCAAGACAAGCAGCTGCTACTCCGCCTCACTTTACAACTTGACCACCGTACAACGAGGAAGCCAGTCTCAAACCCAGCTCTGACACAGCAGCCGAAAACCAGAGTGCCCCCCCACAGAAAGTGAACAGGGGGCATCCCAGTCCCAGCTGAGCTCTGAAACCCAGCACACTTGCTGTGTTAGGGACACATTATCTGATATTACGCTGGAGGCCAGCTAACACACAAAGCTGTAAGAACTAAGAAACTGTTGCAAGTAGCCAAGTGTAGGAACATGCTGAGCAGTCTCAACAAGTTAAAACAAAAACTGGGATATCCTCGTTGGAAATATAAACATGAGACAAAGAAAGGCCATCCTACATAATACTTTTCAAAAACAGCAAGCTCTCCATGATCTAAGGTTCCTATTCAAAGTGGATCCTCCCTGTGCAAGCTGAGTACAGTGCCCTCATGAGCAACCACTCAGAAGATGCTCAAGGACCAGTGTTGATCAAAGCTTTCTGGCCAGCAGGGTCCCGCCACCCTTGAGAGCCCCAAATAAACACACATTGTGAAACTGTTGGCCAAAGACTAGGGCTTCTTATTGGCTAGCTCTGTCTTAATTATTACCCCATTTCTATCAATCTATGTATTGCCACAAGGCAGTGGCTTACCCAGTAATACCCCAGCATGTTGTTACTCCTCTGGCAGCATCGCCACTCTGTGTGGCGGGCTCACTCTGCCTACCTTTCTCAGAATTCTCCTCCCCTAGTCCCGCCTGTCTCCCTGCCTCATTGGCCGAGCAGTGTTTTATTCATTAACCAATCAGAGAAACCTATGTACAGAAGGGCATCCCCATCAGACCAGTGATGCAGGAGCTCAAGCTGGTGTCTGTGAACGGGTCATACACCTCTCCCCTCTCTTTCACTCTGTCTTGCAGGCCGTCAGAAAAAGCAACTCTTCTCCACGTGGCTGAATCAAGACTATGTTACACTCTTAAGCATTGAGTGACCTCCGAAGGTCACACCCTGAAATCTAACCACCAACATGAAGGTATCAGATGAGGCTCTGGGGGCAGGGGGCAGGGGGTTGTGAAGATGTAGCTCTTGCAAATGGAATCGTTACCTTTGTAAAAGAAGCCTCAGAGAACTTGGCTCTTCAGTTACATAAATACACAGTAGGAAGTGCCACCTGTGAGCCAGCACATGGCCCGCATCAGATGACAAAGCTGCTAGTGCATGGACTCTGCTTCTAGAATGTGACAGATAAGCGGCTGTGTGTGAGCTACCCAGTTTATGGTTTTCTGTTATAAGAAGTCCAAGCATATATCATTTTAAGGTTCTGGCACACATTTAACCAATACTTTTAAAGATTTAAATATTCACTCATGAGCATGCTAGGGTATGCGTGTGGAGGCTGCCCTTTGCCTCTACCACATGGGTCCCCAGGCTTGGTGTCAGGTGTTTTTACCTGCTGAACCACAGCACTGGCACCACTTAACAATATTTTCCTAGTCACCAGCCACATGCCAGACATTGTTCTGGGTGTTGAGGATACAATGATCTTCTTGAAGATAAACACTGATAAAGGAGAAGGAACAGACAGGCAAGTCAAAGAAGGCAGGAGGAAGGCAGGAGTCAGCAAAGAGCTGACAGAAATGGGAAAACAGTTCAGCTTTGCAGGTGGATGTTGCAGAATATTCCTTTACACTGTGTGAAAACACATCAGTGTGACTGGTCTAATAAAAAGCTAGGTGGTCAATACCTAGGGAGGATTTTCAGGGCAGAAGAATGCTGGGAAGAAGAAGACAGAGTTGCAGGGAGATGTGGGGAAACACGGCATATAATGAGGTAAACAAGCCTTGAGCTCTGGGGCAACGAGCAGATGGATAGAAATGGGTTAATTCAAGTTGTAAGACCTCGTGAGAAACAAGCCTGAGCAATCAGCCGAGCCTTCATAAATAATAAGACGTCTCCGTGTGGTTATTTGGGAGAAAGACACGCTACAGGAGAGTGGTAAGCACCAAGACCCTGTGGTGTCCGCACACCTCAGGAGGAGACAGTCGGAGGCAGAGACGGTGTGGTTTGGCTGTGACCTGCCCCCCCCCCAACCCCCAGCGTTACTGTAACAGAAACTTGGTCTCCAGGGAGAAGCTATTGTGGAAACATTACAATTTGAGTCTATGGGAAGGTAGTAAGATCATGTGATAAATGCAGTTGAAAAGAATAATACAAGTCTTGTAGGACTGGAATAGTTCTCACGAGAATGGGTTGCTACAAGAAATCCTGAATTCCCCTGACTCCCTCAAGTTAACTCTTTTTAGAAAGTGAGCCCCATTCTCTCACACACACCCTGCCATGTGATGCCGCAGCGTGGAGCCCTCCCAGAGCTGATTAGATGCCAGTGTTATGCTCTTCTGCCCCCAGCTCCATCGGCTAAATAAACCTTTCTGACTTTATAAAGTACACAGTCGGGCATTTTATTACAGCAACACCAGATTAAGTCAGGAAGCAAGGAGGTTAGGTGGAGGCAAGGAGTTCTATTCTGGATCTTGCTTTCTGTGTGGCAGATACCCTATCTCCTAACTACCTCTCCCAGCTATAATCACGATGATATAACCCAACCTCTACTGACCATCTCATTCTTGGGCTTTTACTTGCTGGTCTATTTACATTCGAGAGCCTTCTAGTCATCTCATGCATTTCCTCTACTTCCTCAATGCTGTCTCAAGGGCAAGAGTCCGGCATGTTCTTCCCATGTACCCAGACTCTGACACCTAAAGACACTCAGTCAATCTTTCTGGAAGGTGAGGGTAACGGTGTAATCTCTTAGTGCCCTTTCCAGCTAGTGGAGCAACAATTTGAACTCTCCTGACAAACTGGTTTGTACAAGGACTCAGGGGTCGACAGCTTTCCAGATATTTTGAGATGACAGTCAGGCCACTCTCTGGGGTCCTATTCATCAAGGGGCTCGGATGCACTGCTGCAGCAGGGATCTTTTTGTTCAAGTGGACATCGCACCACACACAAAGGGTCCCAGCACACAGAATGGCTACTGGATCACTACACTGTAAGCTTGCTGAACTTCGGGAGGGTACAAATTGGTACTCCATAAACACTATTCTGATGTGGTTAATCATGGCCTGCAATGGTTTCTCCTTTGTGAAAGGTGAGGATGACTTCATCTCTGCCCTTATCTGGCACCAGAGCCTTAGTTGATCTAAGTGACATCCTTGACCATAACATACAAAAGGATTAGTGTTCTGAGGGCTGTGTGAATGCAATAACTGAATGGCATACCTGGTTACATATTTACAAGAAACCTTGAGTCCTGAAATGCTGGCCTCACCTTTTGAGAACCTCAGCTTCCACGCTATGAGGCACCACAGCCATTGAAGGGACTATGTGTCGATACTTAGGTCAAGATCCTGCTAAGCACATAGCCAGGAGCTGGCACCAACTGTCCACTGTTCCAGGTACTACGTAGGAAGCCATCTCAGAGTGCATCTTTCAGGCCCAGCTGCTTCAGCTGACACAAAAGGGAAATTTATTCCAAACACTTCTGAATGCCTAACCCATAAAATAATGAGCAATATCTAATAGTGGCTTTAATGTCCCAATTTGAGGGACAAATTACTACACAGTAGATCCAATAAAGGCAAGGAAGCCAAAGAGTCACCAGGCCACATTGCTACTGGCCAGTAGCTCTCTGGGTGGCCTCCTCCTTATCACTCATACAGCCACAGATTCTCAGTCAAGGTCAACATCCAGTGACTGCCTCACAGAGACTTCATTCATGGGACATGAGAGAGGCAGGTTAGGTGACTCAGGAGTCAATGACACTGACAGGACTGGAGGTCAACAAAAGTCCTCTGGAATGTCCCCAAGGCACAGTACCGATGTCACATAATTGGGCAACTGGGCAAGCTATACGTTCATTCTGACTCAATCAACCCCACAGACAAGAAAACCATTTATTACACTACTTAAAAAGCAAGGGTAAGACCTAGAACAGAAATCAAATGCACAATCATACCATAGATATAAATATTCTAACCACTAAATAATGATTGCATTTGACATCGGGAAGTTCTAAAATTATCTTCAGATTCTATGAGAACAAGAAACACTTGATTGCAAATGGCCCTTTCCTTGACAGCATCCTTGTGTGTGTAAAAAAGAGCTCTACTATGGTGCCAAAAGACCCTTGAAGTGTGAGCCTCTGTTACCTGTTTTGATCCGACCCTTCTCCCCACAGCAGCCATTCCCAGCCCTGCCAAGAAGAGACTTCAGGAGAGGCAGCACATTCATCCTGTGCCCCTCCCCCACTTCTCCCAAGCCACCTTCTTCAAGGCAAGTCTGTCTCTCCACAAAAAACGAGGGACCATTAAGGCAGACCTGAGTTACGAGTGATGGTGACACACCAGAACAAAAACATGGATTTTTAGGATGGGCATAGTGCACGCCTATAATCCTAGCACTTGGGAGGTGGAGGCAGGAGGATCAGGAGCTTAAGATGAGTTTGAGTTGGAGCTACATGAGACCTTTCCTCAAAACAAAACAAAACTTCACAGAAATTACTATTTTGAGCTGGGGGTAACAGCAATATGCCTGCAATCCAGTACTTGGGACAGCGAGGAAGGCAAGAGGTTAGCAAACTGAGACCACCCTGGGTTACAACCATGGAGAGAGCGAGCTGGAGAGATCAAGAAAGACATCCGGAAGTGTGTGACACACTTTCTGTCACTCCCATTTTCACACTCAGTCACACTCATGTTGGCACACTGTTTTTAAAAATCAACAAAAGGAAAGAACCCAAGGAAACACTCCAGAAGCTAATAGCATAACAATGCAAAAAATGGTACAATGTTTTTAATGGGTAATGGTATCTTGAAACTTTATAAAGTCCACTTTATAAAATCTACTTGTGCTTGATTGAAAATTAACTCACTAGTAATGATAACAGCGGTTTCAAGTCCCACACTGGAGGAGCTGGGGTGGACAGCTCCAACTTTACCTTCAGTGTCTTGGCTTAGCGCCTTCATTTTCGGGGTGAGAGAGTGGTGTTCATCAAAGCGGCATAGCTGGCCAGCTGGAGAACAGGAACTGGAACCCGACTTCTACTTCCTGATCCAGAAACCTTCAACTAAGAGCATTATAGCAAGACTTCCCCAGGAAGGAATTTCCAGTGTTGTTTCCTGATTCCAAATAATTCCATGATAGATAAGCATGCTACAAACCAAAAGCACAAGTGACTCTCAATGTGAAATTGTACAGAATTACACACACAGGTGCACATATACACAAGTACATGGAAAGGGATCCCCAAAAGGCCCGTCACCAGTACCGCCCCAAGATCAGTGTCCAGCTTTTGACACTGTAACATGGTCGCTTACAGTGGTAGGCGGGGAAACTAAACAAAGAGTACTGGGAACTCTGTCACTGCTTTTTGTCTTATGTTACTTAAAAGTAAAAACAGGGGTGTGCAAAGAGGGCTCAGTGGTTGACTATTGCTCTTGCATAGATCCTGGGCTCTGTTCCCAGCACCCACAGGGTGGCTCACAACCATCCTTCACTCCAGTTCCAGAAGATCTGACACCCACTTCTGAACTCCTCAGGCACTAGGCAGGCACATGGTACACATTCATACACGTAGGGAAAACACTCATACACATAGAATAAAAATAAGTACGTCTGAAAGTAACAACAATAAAACACCTTGCCGTGCATAGTTACTCATGCCTATAACCCAGAGCAACCTGCACAGACCCAGAATGAACAGAAGCAAGCCTTATTTGAGCCCAGAGCAATGATTTCAAGTTCTCTTGCTGCACCACACATTTTATCCAAATGATCTCTAAAAGAAACTTTTTTTAAAGGGGACACCTCCTTGGCACCTGTTTTCTTTCATGAGCAAAAGAGAAACTGCCTTTTTGCCCTTTTGAAGGTAATCCCAATCCTTGGCTAGACTCTCTCTCTCACTCAAGAACACAGAAGTCTGAGAGCCAAATTCTGCATGTGGCTGGTTCTCAGAGTCTGTGTGAGGACCAAAATGCTGTTCAAAACAATTAAAATGTCTACCCTTTCATTTCCTGAGTGAGCTGAACAAAACAACATAAAGGATCTGAGCCATTTGTGAAATGAGTAAGAATATGGCTTACCACAAAAGGTGACTCTGTGTAACAGAATGAGGGCCACCGCTCTCAGCAGTTCTTCAGAGCACTACCAACATTGCTGAGAGGCAAACCCTCAGAAGGTCACCTATAAGGTGCGCTAACTTGAAGAGAGCTGGTTCCACAGGCAAGCGAGACAACAGAAAGACTGCAGGCACACATGGGGGCGGCAGCGGGTGCCAAGAAGACTGACAGAGTCACAGAACAGGCCTGATTGTGTCCCTCCTCACAGGGAACCACAGCACAGAGCATCACATCATAGGAACCAAACGCACACTACCCAGGCCGGATACAGGACCTGCAGGTCCCAAAGGCTGCCTATCACAGTCAGGCCTAGCAGCACCAGGAGCACCAGCACCAGCACCAGCACCTGAAAAGAGAGAGAGAGACAGAGACAGAGAGGGGGGGAGAGATAGAGAGAGAGAGAGACAGAGAGAGACAGAGACAGAGAGAGAGGGGGAGAGAGGTAGAGACAGAGAGAGAGAGGAGAGAGACAGAATGAGAGAAAGGAAGGAAGGAAGGAAGGAAGGAAGGAAGGAAGGAAGGAAGGAAGGAAGGAAGGAAGGAAGGAAGGAAGAAAAAGTAACCCACTCTTGTTGGTTTTTCTTGGTTAAGGTGAGAAGCATAATGGAAGTCTCCATGTCACCCAAGCTCTGGAGAAATCTGGTAAATGTGGGGCAGCTGATGCCTTCCTCACACCTAAGCCAGAACCCTTCGGCTTCAGCCCCGCCCCCACACCTGGATTAGTGTAAAGGTCTCCCCACTCAGTACTCATGTGTTTGATCACGTGGTTCCCAGTTAGCGTGGATATTTTGGGAAATTCTAGGACCTTTCTCAGGTGGAATTTCACTAGAGGAAATGAATTTCTAGTGGTGGTGCCCTGAATCATTTCTGGACCAGTCTGAACAAGTTTCCTCTACTTACTGACTGCCTATGGCCAACGTGAGCCCCATGAGACTCTGAACCTCCTGCTGTGAGTCACTTCTGCTGCCATGCCTTTCTATCCGTCACTGACCGTGTCTCCTCAAACTGGGAGACACGAGTCCTTCCTTCCTTCAGCAGCTTCTCCTCGGGGACTTAGTGACAGAAATGAGAAAAGCCACTGGCAGCTTCCTCTGCCTCCTCAAGCTCAGGGCCTAGATATCAAGGGCACTCACTCATCCCCTCCCTCGCAACCTCCTTTTTCTTCCTGCCTTTTGTTTAAAACAGGAAAGTTCTCCCTTTAATCCAAAGAAATAGTCCATTTGTTGGTTTTCCCAGACAGAATTCAGTCATTCAAGAACACACTTTGGACCCAGTCACAATAGCTCAGATAGGAGGCCGTTAGACTGATGGACCAGTCTGCCTTGGAAAAGGTGTACAATGGTTGTGGCTTACACAGAGGGTCTGGCAACTGATTTAAGAGTTGGGGAGTTACAGGTCATTACAGTTAATTACAAAAGATGGTTTAAAAAATTGCTTAAAAAAATCTAGGGAGAGTCAAGAAAAAAAAGGCACTCCAAATTCAATAGAATATTGAAAGGTTATATTCTGCCCTGATAATGGAGGATTTTTTTTAGAGAGAGAGATTGTTGGAAAGTAAACAGAAAAGGGAAAGGAAGGGAGGGAAGAAGGAAGGAAGGAAGAGAGGAAGGAAGGGAGGGAGGGAGGGAGGGAGGGAGGGAGGGAGGGAAGGAAGGAAGGAAGGAAGGAAGGAAGGAAGGAAGGAAGGAAGGAAGGAAGGAAGGAAGGGTGCTCAGGAGGAAATGGCTGATAAACATCTCTCTTCTGAAACAGGCTCAGGGATGCTAGCCCCAGTGACTGGGTCATGGCCACAGAAGTTGAGATCCTCTAAGTGGTTAGACAATGTGGAGGTGTGGTCTCCTGGGACTGCTGCTCTTCCCAGAAGAGCAAAGAACCGGGGTGTGATCACAGGTCAATTCTCCCTGGGGTACAACAGTGGTGTGATCACAGGTCAACTCTCCCTGGGGTACAACAGTGGTGTGATCACAGGTCAGTTCTCCCTGGGGTATAACAGTGGTGTGATCACAGGTCAGTTCTCCCTGGGGTACAACAGTGGTGTGATCACAGGTCAGTTCTCCCTGGGGTACAATGGTCGCTTTCTTTCCCCCTTTCTCTCCACCCCTACTAGGACGACTCTGGAGGTGACATAGGACCATAAGAAAGTAAATCATGTGCCAAAGATGGCAAAGGGCATGAACAGGAGCCCTGGATTCTCCTCATGTGACTCAGCGTTGGACTCCAGGGACAATGAAGAGTGTGTGTGTGTGTGTGTGTGTGTGTGTGTGTGTGTGTGTCTGTGTGTGTCTGTGTCTAGTCTTGTGTGTCTGTCTGTGAGTCTGTGTCTATGTCTGTGTCTATGTCTGTGTCTGTGCGCGCACACGCGCACTCTGGTGGAACTCACTGGTACATTTTTCTTTTTCATTTTTTTTTCTTTCAGTGTCCCACTATGTCGATCTGCCTGACCTAGAACTTGCTACATAGACCAGGCTGACCTTTAACTCACAGATATCCTCTGCATCCCAAGTGCTGGGACTGACACCTGTCTCAATGTTATCTCTTTGTAGGCCCCCATTTAATGTTGGGAAATTCACATTCAGGAACTGGAGATGCGGCTCAGTGCTGTGGCATCTATGAGGCCCTGGGTCCAGTCCCCAGCACCAGGAGAAACACAGAATGAAAGACGCTAATGCACAGTTCTCAGCCCTCTCTCCATGCGCACTACAAGCCCCTTGAAGGGCGGGGCTCTTGCTGCGGTTTCTGATGTAATCTTTTTGATGTCTTTCAGGACCCACAGCATGGCCCGTGTCAACAAGTCCTCAGGGGCAGAGAAATCTAACTCAGTTGCACAGAATAAAAGACAGAATAATGATCACCTCAGGAAGCAGAAGAGATTCTTACCCATGCTTGGTGTCACTTGTTGTGAGTTTTGAGACTTGGTGAAAAATGACTTCCTCCAAAAAAGGTGAGAACAAAGACAAGATGGATGGTTGGGAGGGAAGACGCAAATAACTAAAGGACGGGAACAAAAGGCGAGGTTTCGTAGCTGAACTCCTTGCCCGACTCTTCTGTGGGTAGTACTTAACCGCTAGCATTATCCAACAGCCCGGTACTTTAAAATCTCCACTGGGAGGGAGCACACAGGATAAGCTGAAATCAGATCCTCGTGTGAGTGAACCCAGCACAAAGACATGTTATCAGGTGGAGTCACCTAATGAGCTTTCCCTCCTACACAGCTGCAGAAATGAAAGAAATCGGTCGGCGGGTCTGCTGACAGTCCTCTTCTAGCAAAGCTCAACGCAAAAGAAATGGCAGGGGTAGTGACAAACTCTCCCAGGGAACATTTACCCCGAAAAGTCTCTCTAGTCTTTACTCCCAAACAATTAAGGTTAAACATCAGCTTTAGTCCGGCACTGTGTTGGGTACCAAGAGAAGAGAGATGAACAACGCTGGCTCAGGTCATCGGATTTCCGGCCTTTCTCACTGAAGCATTTTGAATTGTGTGGCCCTGACACTGTTGCATACTCAACTCTGCTGATGTGGTGTGAAGGCAGCCAGAGGCAGAATGTTAACACATAAACCTCCTCACTTTCCAATAAAACTTTATTTCTACATTTTGAATCGTCATGTTGCTTTCAGCCATGGTGGAATATTCTCTCTCTCTTTTGCAGCCATTTAAAATTGGACTTGGAGCTCAGTAGTTGGGAATTTGCTTAGTACATGCAAGGCTTGGTTTGATCTCCAAATACTGCCATAAATGGGGGTGGAGGGAGGGTTGTAAAACATTCTTAAAAGCCAGGCCTGTTGATACACACCTGTAACCCCAGCACTTGGAGGTTGAAACAGGAAGATCAAGAATGGAAAGCCAGCCTGCAGCACACAGTGAGAGTATCTCAAACACACACACACACGCACAGAGAGAGAGAGAGAGAGAGAGAGAGAGAGAGAGAGAGAGAGAGAGAGAGAAGGATTTTTAGCGCATGGGTCATACAAGACAGGATAATTGAGGCCACAGGTTCCCAACTTCTACAATACACACCCCACAGCAAGATAGCAATAAAACAAATAGGAATTAGGCTGCAGGCAATAGTTTTGTCACCAGTCAGCCCACTCTCCCTCACAATATGTGAAATAAGCCTTTCTTCCTGTTGAAAAGACTTCAATTAGTTTTAAGATGCTCGGCTTTTAAAAGAGGCAGAGACAGAGATAGAAACTACAGACTGTCTAAGATCTGCAAAGGAGGCAGAGAAAGAACACAGAGGTAACGGTGGCAGCGAGAGAGCCCACCATCGAGCTGGGCGGTGGTGGCGCACGCCTGTATTCCCAGCACTCCGGAGGCAGAGGCAGAGACAGGCGGTTCAAGACCAGCCTGGTCTGCAAGGACAGCCTCCAAAGCTACACAGAGAAACCCTGTCTCGAAAATACAAAAAAAAAAAAAAAGGCCCCACTCCCCCACTACCTCTACCTCACCGGAGAGAAATGAGGGGTAAGAACCAGTCCAGCAGGTGGGCTACGGATTAACCTAGAAGAGAAATGTAAGCCAGGGCAGGGACACAGAATTTATTAAGTATATCTATCAATTTCTTCTGTAGAGCTGGACCTGAGAGAAACCACTTAGGTGAAGGATTTCTGAGGGTTCAGTCTCAAGTCAGTTAGCTTCCTGAGATTACGCCAGAAAGGAAAAGAACATGAGACAGAAAAGGCTGACCATACCATGGTGGACAGGAAACAGCAGAAGTGACTTGTTACCAGGTAAAGCCTTCAGGGCATGCCCCACAAGAACCTACTGTTAGTGTTCAGGCATCTGTACTGGCCTGTCCTTGGGGTTCTGACAGGATACGTCCTCAGCTGCAGCCACTGAGACACCACCTGTGCACATTCACTGTGTTCCCTTTTAAAAGGGCCCTGCCCACCTCCATCTCTCTCTCTCTCTCTCTCTCTCCTCTCTCTCTCTCTCTCTCTCTCTCTCTCTCTCTCTCTCTCTCTCTCTCTCTCTCTCTCTCTCTCTCTCTCTCTCTCTCTCCCTCCCCCCAACACCCCTTTTCTCTCTCCTGCTGCTCCTGTCCCCAGAGGCCGGTCTCTCCCTCTCCCCTTTCCTCTTTTATGATCCCTTTCCCTAATTAAAAAAAAAAATCCCTCTGCTTGAACCCTGTCACATGGTGTCTTTCTCTCTTGAATGCGGCTTTTTTTTTTTATTACAACACCTACTCCCTCCAGTGAAACTCTATCTACTTCCTAAAGCTCCCAGAGCCTCCCCCAAATAGTGCTGCAAGCTTAGGACAAGCATTCAACACACAAACATGTGAGGAACATTCCATAACCCTGTTTTCTGTTGATGTCATAAACACCATAACCAAAAGCCACTGGGGACGATTTATTTGGCTTACATTTCCACATCAGGATTCACGGAGAAAGCCAAAGCAGGAACTCAAGCAGGGCAGTAACCTGAAGGCAGAAAATGAAGCAGAGATCACGGAGGAGTGTTCCCCATGGCTTGCTCAGCCTGCTTTCTTAAATAACCCAGGACCACCTGCTCAGGGATGGCACCGCCCACAGTGGACTAGCCCCTCCCACATCAATCACTAATCTAGAAATGCCCGGGGACATGCCCACAGGCCAATCTGAAGGAGGCAATCCCTCAACTGGGGTCCCCTCCCCCCACTCCACCCCCAGCCCCAGGTAACTCTAGTTGAACTGACGAAAACTAACCGGCACAAACAAAGCTGCTATGTACAGAAAATTACTCTGTTCGGCTGGAAAAGGGCTGCTCTGAGGTTAGAAATCTGTGGGGCGAGGTGGATGTGGGGGAAATGGTTTTCATCTTGTTTAAGTGTGCAGTGATCCTGGGGAAATCAGCTCAGTGAGGTCCAGTCTTGAAAGCTTCAAGCTTAGAATTTCCTTTATTTTAAAAAAGATTTGGCGGAGCTGGGCCCCAAGGGTTCTAATCACAGGTCCATTCCTGTTTTTAACCAGGACACGAAAGACTGGAATTTCCAGTCATTTACAAAGAAAAAGAAAAAGAAAGGATAAGGAGCATATTCCCAAGTGAAATTCGTTGTTACAATATTTGCTATCATTAGCAACAATAAAATGCATTTGTAACCAGACAAGTTAGAAATTATTTGGCTAGTGACCAGAGCAAACTGCCTGAGTCTGTGAAATGAATCGCTGATGGCTAGTATTCAGCAAACATCACACAGCAAGCACGAAAAAGTGCCAGAGTCACTGTCACCAAAGGTCAGGTCTGAGGGAAGCTAAAAGTAAGATGATAAACAATAACAGGTTTCTTAATCTGTTTTCTGTTGCTATAGTAAAGCAGCTTGGCCAGCTGTCCTCCTTCTTTTTCTGTTGTGTGGTAGAATACCTCAACCAAAAGCAACTTCAGGGAAGAAAGAGTTTGTCTGGCTTGCACTTCCAGGTCACAGCCCATCAGTGAGAGAACTCAGAGCAGGAACTCAACCAGGAACTTGAAGCAAAATCCACGGAGGATCGGAGCTTGCTGGCTTCATCGATGGTTCATGCTTAGTTAGCCTTTCTGTAAAGCCCAGGACCATCCAGGGTACAGGGCTGAGCACGGTATGTAGGGTGCTTCTACATCAATTAACTACTGAGACAATCCCCACAGACATACCCACAGGCCAATCTGATCTGGCAACCCCTCTGTTGAGACTATTTCTCAGGTTCCACTCCACTATATCAAGCTGACAATGAAGTTAACTATGAAACCAGATAGAGCATAAGGAACCTAAATGTGTTTGGCCATGGTTCTGGAGTCTGACAGAGTAAGAGCATGGTCCCAGCATGCATTTTGTGTCTGGTAACCACTGCCTTAATTCTTGATGTGACACAGCAAACTAGCTAGCTTAGGTCTTGTTCCTCTTATAAAACCATCAGTGACATCATGGGAACCCTACTCCCATGGCCTCATCTAATCCCTACTACTTCAAAGGCTTCGCATATGAATTTAGGGATTCAGTTTCCAAGAGAACCACCACAAACAAACCCATTCAAACCACAGTCTAGGGGTCAGGGTAAGATCCAAAAACCATTCATCCCTTCCTGTCAACTCCTTCCAGCACCAGTGTCATCTGAACCAGACACGATGGAGCTCCAGACAAGATTCATCCCGAGGTCAAACTTACTTGTGCCTTGAACCTGAGAGATCAGAGAAGTTATCTGCTCCCAAATTATAACAGTAGAACAGCACAGGACATTCCTATTAGAAAGGGGAAAGTAGGTGCAAAATAATTACAAATCCAACAGAGAGAACATTAACAGGACAAGCCTCAGAATACCTTTCCCACAGGAGAGACTGGGACTCCCAAATCTTGAAGCACATCACTCTGGTGTCATCAGACATACTAGCTAGTCCTCATGGGGTCAAGTTGCATGCCTCAGTAGTTCCCCCCCCCCAGGGTGGCACTGAACACCACTAGCCCTATAATTTGGATTTGGTGTTGTTTTAAAGATTTATTTATTATGTATACAGTGTTCTGCTGGCATTTATGCCTGCACACCAGAAGAGGGCACCAGATCTCATTATAGATGGTTGTGAGCCATCATGTGGGTGCTGGATATTGAACTCAGGACCTCTGGAAGAATAGCCAGTGCTCTTAACCACTGAGCCATCTCTCCAGCCCCTCTGGTCCGGGTTCTTAATGATCCCACTCAAAGGCTCCACAGTACAGTAGTGTCATGCAGTGAATTGTGTCTCCCCAAAATTTCCTATATGGAAACCCCAACTCCAAGTATATAAACATGTGGCTGTACATTAGGTGGCACATGACATGTATATCATCAACAAACCACATACATGACAGTGGTCCCAGAAGATTCATGGAGCTGAGAGGAAGCAATGACAATAATGATAGGACAAAACAGCAAGGGGTCACCTGAAAAATGTCCACAAACTTCACCAAGGTAAATAGGAAACTATAAACAATGATCGCCTGTGTTTAGATGGAAGAAAACATGTATGAAAACTCATCTTCGGGGCTTGAATAAAGGGGAAGTGTCTGACAACATCCAAACAATTGCAATAAAAAAAAAGGATGGGTGGGGTCTACTGTGCTTCCAGGGCTGCTAGCTCTACAGCGGTGCTTCTCGCCCTTCCCATGCTAAGACCCTTTAACACAGTTCCTCATGTTGTGCTTACCCCCAACCATAAAGTTATTTTCAATGCTACTTCATGACTGCAATTTTGATACTGTTATGAATCATAACGTAAATGCCTGTGTTTTCTGATGGTCTTAGGTGGCCCCATGAAAGGGTCGTTCAGCCCCTAAAGGGCTCATGACCCACAGGTTGAGAACCATTGCTTTACTGTCGCTTTGTTTGAAAGGGGTTCTTGCTATGAGGCTCAGGCCACCTTGAACTTGCAAGCCCCCTGCCTCAGCCTCCTGAGGCTGGAACTACAGGTATGTATCACCATGTCTAGCTTCTCTAGGTGTTTCTGAAACAGAAAGGATAAAAGGCAAGAGAAAAATATAATATTTATTAATTATGAACTGGGACCACATTAATAATATTACCTCCAGGGGCTGGAGAGATGGTTCAGTGGTTAAAAGCATTAGCTACTCTCCCAGAAGACCTGGGTTCAATTCCCAGC